AGACCACCTAAAAGATGGAAGGATAGCTGGCAGTCAACATCCCAGGAAATACTGCAGAGGCGTGCTCAGAATTAACAGATCGCAAGATCTCGGAAAAGTACAAGAAGAAGAAAAAAAAGACAATATAGCCGGATATATGTATTATTTGCTCCATAAAACGGCCATCAAACACTTGTAATAAATATATTTCGGAATTAGCATCTAAAGAAACCCTGCTTAAAAACTTCAGCAAGTTTACTCAAATTAAGTGTTACAGAAATAGTAATTTATTTTTTGCCATGAGCATGTATTCAATTTTTTTATTGAAATGGAAATAATTTTCAATTATTCAAGCATAGTTTTTGTTTGGGTTCTTGTTACGGAAATGACTCAAATCGAACTAGAAGTGCCTACATGCCATAGAATCAAAGATACAATTATAAGCAGGTATGTAGGTAGTTTTTGGATTAAAGATTTCTAGTAAAACAGAAGCCCAGTTAAGCCAGCGACATGCTAGTAAGTGTTTAATATTCTATTGTTTATTTGAAAATTTGCATTTACATTTCACACCCAAAATTACAATATGAAGTGTTAAAACATTTCTCATATGTTTCGATTTTTAAGCCTAAGGGTTTTCGATGGCACCTAACTAATTATTAATTGCATTAATTTTAATTATATTAATAATTAATTATATGTATGTACTTATCAAAATATGTACATTTTTATTCATACATTAACAGTTTCATTCATTTTATTCATACCAATTCCTATAGAATTTGTTTCATTTCAGTTTAAGAATGAATAAAGCATAGTCAGATGTTTTCAAAATTGCTGAAATTATACGATACGCATTGAAGTCTTTGACTCTTTGAGTTGACTTGCATCGCAAAATAGAAGATAAACAGATAAACGTCACAGATCATCATGCTTTTATCCTGTATCTCAAGAACAAAAAAAAACACTTTGTATAGTAATTAACAGTTTAGAACATTTACTCAGTAATAGTTATAAGTAATATTATAAACTTGCTTTAAAAAAAACGTTTGATACATAGGGAGGAACAAACAAGACTAGAAAAGCATAGAAAACCTAAAGCTAAACTGCATTTCCATTGTGCAGAACAATTATTATCAAGTGTTGAATTTAATCTCGATTCCGCTGTCTTAACTCTTAACGAGAGGCATTTTATATAGAAAAA